GTAATCCGCCTTTCTCCCCCCTTTTCCCACTTGTGATTTACGTATATGAGCTATGCCTTTACTCCAACATTGGGAGCATTCCTCACTCTGAAAGTAATTAAGGAAATCACTACATGTTTCCTGCCCCCCCCCAAAAAAAAGGTAAATAGCAACCTCTTGTTAACCCTTCCTTGACTTCCTATTTTGTTTCTGAGTCTTCTTCTGGATCATTAGTAATGGAAAATATGGTCCCCTTTAAATAAAGGCTAGGGTAGATGCTGAAAAAGAGAAAACACCCCCAAAAGTATTGAGGAACCCCCCCATCCTGATCACTCAGCATGTCCCACTTCCCTCCCCTGGAATCATGAGTATATCTCAGTTGTGGGCAATGTTAACAATTAATTAATTAATAATAATTACAGCCCATGTCCCTCTGATAATCCCTCTCATCTCAGATCAGATTAAGAAAAGAGAATACTGAAGAATTGTAGGGAAACTTGAATGACTATCTGCTCCATGCGGTAGAAGGGGTGGCAGTAGCTGCATTGAGGCCCCACACACTGTGCCCCTACAGCCCCCAACCCCAGCATCTACAGCTGTCAAGGTGGGGGCAGAGTCAGGTCCCATAGCCAGCATTCCCTGAGTTTTATCACCAGAGAACTACCACCAATGGGAAGGTTCCAGCACCAGCCACCCCAGTCCTTAGGCAGTGCCCTCTGTCACACACCCCAAAGCCCAGTCAATCAGCATCTCCAAGGCAGGCCTGGCCCTTGGCTCCATCCAGCTACTACCTGGGAGAGTCTGGGTGCCTGGCAGCACTTAGAATGGCAGTACAAGGTTGGGGAGCCAGCCAGCCTCTCTTCTTGGTAAGCCCATCAAGTGACTGGCATATGCCAAGCACTACATTGTTATTATTTCTCTAATTTAATGTAACTGTCCCATACCTGATAACTTTAAAGTGGTTTTAAAATGCCAAAGATAGTAAGATCAATGATTTTTATATGTGATAATTTGGAAATGTAATTGATGTCATCTGAAGTTTATTATTTGGGTTATTATTGTATTTCTAAATTGTATTTCTAAATTCTCTTATGTTATGAAATTTGAGAGACCATTGTAAAACAGAAATGCTGGTAAACAAAAACAATTTTTAATCTGGTTTCTGTTACATATGGGCTTTTAAAAGGATATGATAAAAAATTAGATCTTCAAAAACTGTTAAATATTTAATAAGGTATATTTAATTATAAACAGATAATCATCATCATCATATTTACTCTAATAGCAGATTTTCATTTGAAAACCTTGGCTGTTATGAAAGTATATAAGATGGTTTAAAGATGTAGCTTCAACATATTAATGATGAGTCAACTATTAGGTATTTGCCATATGTTTGAAGCCCCAGAATATGGGTAGTTTTATTTTATAAATAAAGGATTAATGAAATGTTAACTGTTAAGGAAATATCAGGAAAATATTCAAGCTCTAAGTTGAGGTTAGTGAAATTTTGCTATTTAAGGTAAACAGTCCTGGAACTGTAACTTATTATTGTTTTGAACTTTGATTACTGGGATAGTTATCTGTATTGTCAGTAGAAAATGGCATGTGTAGCAGTCTAAAAACTGCTAAGGTGATGTTTGTGCCTGGGAAAGGTTGTGGGGATGACCTGAAACAAAGCCTAGGTAGTAATCTCCTGACTCTATTTCCCCATTGTGCTGTTCCTTTATGAAAAGGAAAATTCCCCACCTAGTTAATCCTGAGCCTTGCCTTTAACACTCTGACTGTTTGACTGTCAGTTATGACTCATGCTTGGAATCAAATAGAGCTAAGGGAGTTTTTTCCCTCTGTTATGACCATGCCTGCCCTTCTTTTTCCTTTTATATCAAATTTTTATAATCAAGAAGTTTTGTAAATACAACACTAAATCTATTACATTGATATGGAACATCTCTAAGCTATTATAATAGGATTCAAGTATGAACATCTTACAATTTTAACCTATATTTATGGTCAAATTATAATATAGGGATAATATCACCCAAAGGGGGAAATGATTAGACAAAGATGTAATGATAAAGGTTTCTAATTAAATTGAATAGCAAATTTTGAAAAAAAGCAACAGGATTAGACTGTTTTCTCTAAAGAACTATATACAGTTTTATATGATTGACTTCCAAAGTTTATCTATCATGGAAATTCAGGCTTTGAGTTTTAGTTTTAAGTATAGTAATATGTTTTGGTAATAAGTTCTCAAAATTGGATTAAGCATTTATTAAGGATTAATTGGATTTTACACAAAAATTGTATTGATAATGGTACAGAAAGTTAATTTTCCCATTTTTAAGTATCTGATAATCTTAAAGTATAGAAGAGTTCATTTTCAGTTAGACCCTCATAAATTTTCAAAAGATTCTTATATCAGGTACAAGATTTAGGTAAGGATAGAAACAGAAAATGATATATAAACTGAAATTCTCTGAAAGTTCAAAATTAGAGAACCAGATCTAAGTGATTGTATTAGATTAGGTCAGAACCTCTAGATTTGGAACCAGGGAAGCCTCTTTTAGAGTTGTCCTGAGAATAAAGGTGTTAATGTTTAAGTTTTCTTGGTTAATTTGGTGACATGTAAATCTCCCTTCTCAGAACTAGTCCACTGTGAGTGCTCTAAGTAATTTGATCTGTACCTGATTTGGGGAATTGTGAGAAAAACTTTATTGCATTGTTTAGTTCTGGATCATCTGAAGCAAGCCCCTGCACCTGAGTAGAAAGACCCAGAAGCTGCCAACATCTAGTGAGACAGCTGTCTCAAGATTCCAAATGAGGAGCTAAATCTACTGTTCTAGTTTTTTCCTCTCCCCTTTTGTTATTTACCCAACCACCAAGGCCCTAATCATTTTCTCACTGACATTCTTGGCCCCCTCTCTTTTCAATAAATTACCTTGTACACATTTCCCCAACAGGTCCCTCCAAGGAACTAACCCCCTGGGTTAGTTCATGACATATCTCATGACATATACCTGCCTCTCTTTTATTGGCCATAAGGGTAGGGGTTCTTTCAGACTCCCTCCCTTTGGCCAAAAGGGGGAAATGTCAAAATATTTTGAAGATACTCTATTTCCCAGGGCTAAGGCTGTGTCCTGAGCTTGGCATAATAATAATCCTTTGTGCTGCTTAGGATGATATCACCCTCTGGCAATGTGTATTGCTTAGACCAGCACCAAGTGTTCACTGAGGGATTTAGCTCCCCCTATTTCAGAGCACCATGTATCACACATTCATAATCCCGATTCCTTGTCACTGACAGGTATTGCACTCCTATTCCCCTCATAGAAATCTGGTTCTGTGCTCAGCAGGGTGGGACTGACCTCCAAGACTTGTGACAATACTATTCCCACAAGACCCATGGGAATAGTAACTCAAAACCTAAAAATGATTATGTCATGGCCTGCCCCAGGATGTATATAAGACCTGCCTTTCCAGCATGTTAAGCCCTCCTTCTTAGGAGGGAGGGCTTCCTATGCACACCTCATTTTCCTCATTCTGAAATTAATTAAACTTCTGTTTGTGTCCTGACTCTCCTCTCTCTAGCCTGCTCTGTTTGCCTAGCTCTGGCCACCCACAAGTTAGAGGTCGGTTCTGGTTCAGTTGACACAAGAGAGATTAAATTTGTGCTTCTTAGTCTCAGAGGGCAATTAGGAACAATTGGTAGTTGTAGAGAAGTGGGTTTAAATGATCTAAGTGTAATAATTTCCACTGTCCAAAAGCTGATGATCTGCTTTAGGAGGTTGAATATTACATACATTATAGAATAGATTCTTCAGGTGGGAGATGGGCTATATGACTTTTTAAGTCCTTTCCACAGGATCATGGATTCAGAGCTGGAAGTCATCTTAGAGGTCATCTGGTCTAACCTTCTCCTATTACAGAGGAGGAAACAGCTAGTTTAGGTGACTTTCCCAGGCTCACAGATAGCAACATATAGGATTCAAGCCCAGATCCTTTGACCCCAAATCCAGCACTTTTTCCTCTGGACTACATTGCCTATGAACCTGAGGTTCTGTTCATGCCATTGTCCTATTACATTTTGTTGGGGTAATGACGACCTCATAGGATGATGGTGTTGCTTTAAACAGTTATAGCTAAGTTTGGAAGGGAGGAGGGTTTTGGGAAAACATTAAGTGTTCAGTTTCAGACAGGTTGATTCTAAGATGTTTATAAGACATCCAGTTGGAGACGCTAGATTGTAGGTTGAGAGAGAGGTCAGGGCTGTAAAAGTAGCGTTCAGAATCATCTGCATAGAGAATATAATTGAATTTATGGCAGCTTTTGAGATCAAGAGAAATAATAGAGGGAGAAGAGCATTCAGTAAAGTCTTGAGGATTCAAAATTAGCAGATGAAAGGAAGCGGGGGCATGTTTGTAAAACACCTTGACAAGGAGTCGAGTTGCAAAAGGGAGGAGAGACATAGGACTGCACAGACCTAGTGAGGGGGTTTTGGTTTGTTTTTAGAATGGGATATGTTTTTAGGCAGCAGGGATGTAACTAACAGACAGGGAGGGGTGGAAGCTAAGTGAAAAATAGACGATGGCCGGACCCCAAGGTTAGCCAGGAGCCGCTACGTAGCCCCAGGGGGAATCGGGTCATTCCAGGGCGGGGACCCCCCACCGAAGGGCGGCCCCGCAACGGGATGCTTGGCTGCCGAACTAAGAGGCAGGCTTGGGTCGTGAGACCCCATTATGTCGCGACAGCATAATATCTAAATGTGAGAACCACATCCCAGCTTCCCGGCTAGCACGACCTTTCCCACCATCCGAAGGGAAGTACGGGGCGGGACTCGGCCAAAGGAAGCGGGGAGGGCGCGCGTGGCGCTTCGGAGACGTGGCCGGCCACGTGACGCGCGTCAGCGCGCGCTGTTTCCGGAAGTCTCCGTCGCTCGCGCCCCCGCCCTCGCCGCCGCAGCCGCCGCGCTGCCACTGCCACCCGGTGCAGTTTAGGGGAAGCAGGGCTCGGGTGCCGCCGCCGCCGCCGCCGCCTCTGCGACGCCGCCGGGGTGGGGAGGAGGGTGGGGTGACGACGAGACTGCAGGATGGAGATGATACGGAGCAGTGCGTGCCTCTTCTCGCCCTCGCTGCCGATTCCGCAATGTCCTCTCCCCACCCTCCCTCCACCCCTGGCCCGGGCTCCGACCCCCGGGCCTCTGTCAGGCCTCAGGGGCCGGGCCTGGAGACTGGCTGCTGCCCTCGGCCCCCAGGAGCTGCTCAGCGGCGCACTTACCCCGCGCACCGCCGGTCCTCTCTCTTCCATCCCCACGTTGTTGCTGCTGCTGCTGCTGTTCCCCCCCGCCCCCCGCACCCCCCAGCTCCTCTCCCCTCCCCTCCAGGCAGCTGGGGGGCTGTGAGTGCTCTGGACCCCTCTGTCCACCACCTCCCTTCCCCCGCCCCTTCCCCCCAGCCTCCTGTCTCCAGACTTGGAGGGCTGAACCTGGGGCCCTGGTCTGAGCCTTTTCTTGGTTTCTCTGCAGATTTTAAAAATAATCTTCACAAAGTGTACCAGGCCATTGAGGAGGCGGATTTCTTGGCAATCGATGGGGAGTTTTCAGGTATCCCGTCCAGGGTTTTGATAGTGTCTTCTCCCAAAGCTTGCTTGTAGACGACTAGGGACGTGATGTTGGGTCAACTCTGGTCCAGGGCCACATTTGGTAGCATCTCCTATACTTATGCCCCACCCTGCTGGGTAACCTGGGGAAATTAATCTCTTTTTACTACATCTTGAAATGGGTGTATCTTGAAGAGATCCGTTGTGTTTGGTTACTTTTTGGAATCATTTTAGGAACTTCAAATGGATCTTATCATATAGCATAATATATATAAAAGCAATTAGGTAGGCTTTGGTGTTGGTATGGCATCTTCTGTTGATTGGGAAATAGGACAACTTAGAAATGACGATGAAGCTCTATATAGTTGTAGACATATTAATGACAATCCAGAGGGTATGCATGTAATGCGGGATCAGTGCATCTACAGCTGTATTTATTTTTTGAACAACAGCCTGATACTGTTAATTAAAACTGGTTTGATCCCCTTTTCCCTTTGATTCAGGCTCCTGAGTTGTTCCCAGATTGATTAGTGGCTGAATTGATTGGCAAATATGGAAAACCGCTTAATTGTTTATAAAGGAAGTTGATGGCCTAGTTGATCCATAAAATGCTCAAAGCTCGAAGAGGCAGAGTTTACAGCTTGTTCTTAAATTGGTAATTTTAACAAAACTCTTTTCTTTCTTTGAAAATGTTTTTTTGTTGATTGTACTAAACATATTTTTGGCCAAATTGTTTGATTCATTGTTTCTATATAAATTTTTTGGTTAGTGTTAACAAAAACATTTTCAAAGACAAGAAAGTCTGTCTTTTGATGATTTTACTAGCTTATCCACAAATGAAGATTGATATAGATAGAAAATATTCATCACCTGGAAGCCAAACTTCTGGTGATGAGCCTTTCTTAACTAGGCAGGTCCTTCCACAACATACAAAGTCCTTTTCTGGTCCTGTATTTGCAATCCTTTTTTAGTTTCAAAGGATATATGTGAGCTTATGTTCTGCTGGCATTGATTAGAACCTAGAACTACTTCTCCAACATCAATAATACATCTAGTTAAGATTTTAATGGGGTTAATATTCTTAAACTCCTAATTTATATGGCATATTGATGTTTGCAGGTGTATTTCCACTTCTGAAAGAAACTATTTAAGTGACTGTTAAATGAACCCATTTAAAAAATAAATTAACCCTCTCAAATTAATTCCGTTGTAGAATTTTTTAATATTGACTTTAGACTGACAGGTGATTGTATGTTTATAGATGACAGTGATTATTGTTAACAATAATCATCTTTGATAAAAGAATTTCTATTTACTCATTGCATGCAAAGATATGAAGTTGTGTATATTGTTCTGGAAAATATTTTCTTTACATTAGCATTGATTGGTCGTTGAATTTCTACGTGATGTGTTTAATATTGAAAAGTTATTGAAATATTAAATTTCCCCCCTAAATTTTAGGAATCAGTGATGGACCTTCAGTTACAGCATTAACCAATGGTTTTGACACCCCAGAAGAAAGGTATCACAAACTTAAAAAGGCAAGTTAGTTAAAAAATATTTTTCCACCTTTTTCAGTCTCTTCCCCCCACTGAATTGTACTGAATACAGTCTCTTCCCTCCACTGAATTGTACTGTAATTGTACTGAATTGTAAAATACACTTTTTAAACAAGGCCCAACCATAAAACAATGTTATTAATTAAAACAACAACATAATTATCTGTAGAAAAACATTTCATGAAAATTTCAATATGTTTGATTTAGAGTAATTTAGATATAGTTCTGTTTTTTAAAAACTTGGTTTTTGGCTAATATGACTTTTTGAAAGAAAGTAGCTACCCAAATATAAAAATTACAGTTACAATATAAAGGTTATCTGAGCACATTTGATAGGGCTAATTAAATAAATTGAGTTAAAAGCATTCATGTGATGGCCCAGAAACTTTTTGCCAAAGTGGAATTAAGTGATGTAGAAATTCTACTTGTTTGAAACTATTATTGCTTCAACTGAAAGAAACTTCATTCTCCTCTGATACTGATAGACAAATTATTTTCTTCTTTTCCAGCATTCCATGGACTTTTTGCTGTTTCAATTTGGACTTTGCACTTTTAAATATGACAGCACAGATTCAAAGTAGGTTATTTTTTAAAGCATTAATTATTCTGTTATTGTGGAATGATATCACCTCTCAATTTGCTTGTATCTTTCATTTTCATAGGTATATAATGAAGTCATTTAACTTTTATGTTTTCCCAAAACCCTTCAGTAGAACTTCACCAGATGTCAAATTTGTTTGTCAGGTTAGTAGCAAAATTTAGTTCTTTTTATTTGTCAGTAGTTGGTTTTCCATTATTTGTGATCATGCATAGTAATGTCATACTTTAAACATTTATTTCATCCCTTAGAAAATGCAGAAGATGAAAAGGCCTCAGAAGGAGCCCATATACAAATATAGGAAACACTTAAGACATTTAGAGGAACACTTATGTAGGTAGTGAAAATTCATAAAGCACTCCTAATAATTCTTCTTAGAAGGAACTGGATTTATAGTTTTCCATTAGGTTAACCCTTTGAAATTTCCAGCAATTTCTTACAAAGATTCCTATATAATCCTTCCCAGATTCATGTGTCACTTTGCAGTTTAGATTCCCTCCAGAAAAACCATTAATTTCAAATTTTTTCACCAAAAGCATTTTGTTAAAGCTAGATTTTCACAAATAACAAAATGAATTTATTTGAATTTTCCCTTCTTTCTTGTCACAGAATTGTGTTCGAATAAAAACTTTGAGATCATCTGGTCTCTCATTTTATAGATGAAGAAGTCTGTGTTCAAAGTCATGTAGTAAATACCAGAAGCTTGATTTAAACTGAGGTCTCCTACAACATGTTGCCTCTTTGTAAAATGATAGGGTTGAACTTCATGATCTCTAAAGTCCCTCTACAACTTTTTTAAAAATTAGATTTCATTTTTTTCAGTGAACAAGAATGTGCCTCTGCCTTCTTGTAGCCTCACTGCCCCACCCCTAAGTTTAAAAAAAAAAAGCTCCCCTCCCCCTCCCCCCAACAAATACTCATAAGCAAACAGATTCTCACATTAGCCATGTCTAAAAATTCATGTTTCCACTCAGCATATCTAGCTGATCACCTTTTTGTTAGGAGTTAGGCAGCATTCTGAGTTATCAAGTTATCATGCTTCTGGAGTCATGGTGGATCATTGAAATGATCAAAGTTCTTAAATCTTACAAAGTTGTTTGTTTTTATAGTCTAAAGTCTTATTTTCCTTGTTTTGCTTAATTCATTCTGTATCGTTTAAAAGTGAGGTTCAGGTGAGTCCCCCTTTCCACCCTTTCATTGTTTGTAGACTTCTATTTATCTCCCCACCATTGCATCTCTTTCATTCTCTAGTGTATCCTTTTTCTACCTCCTTTTCTTTTCTTCTTTTAAGATCATTGCAACATAATAAAAAAACAACATTCCCAGGCCTCTATCTTATTTGACTACCTTTATTTGACCCCAGCTGATATTACAGTTCTCTGGGGATGGTTACATCATTTACTTCTCCCCTTCCCATTAGAATGTAATTATTTCAGCTTCATAAAATCTTTTCAAATTGCCCACTTGTATTTATCTTTTTGTTTTTTTTATTCTTATGTTTATGTTTCATAGTTTTTACTCAGCTTTTGCCTTTTAATCAGGAATGCTTGGAATTCCTCTGTTTCATTTAAGATCCATTTTTTCCACTGTGGGATTATACTCAGTTTTGCTGGGTGAGTTATTCTTGGCTGTAAGTCTTTGTCTTTTTACCTTTTTGAAATATCATAATCCATACTCTCCACTAGTAGCTGCTAAATCTTGTGTGATGCTGACTGTGGCTGCATTGTACTTGTACTCTTTATTTATGGCTACTTGCAATATTTTTTCATTGACCTAGAAGCTCTGGATTTTGGCTGTAATGTTCAGGGAGTTTTCATTTTGAGGTTTCTTTCAGGAAGTGATAGTCTGTTTTTTCTATTTTCAGTTTATCTTTTGGTTCTAAGAGATCTAGCAAGTTCTTGAAATATGATGTCTAGGCTCTTTTTGGTACTGGCTTTCAGATTGTTAAGTAATTTTTAAACTATCTCTCCTTAATCTGTTTTCCAGCTGAGTTGTTTTGGCTTTAAATACCTTATATTTTCATCTGTTTTTTCAGTCTTTTGACTTTATCTTAATATTTCTTGTTTCATGGAGTCATTAATTTTACTCAGATCTGTTTTACTCGGATTGAATTTCAGGGAGTCTGTTACTTGGGTAAGGTTTTGTACCTCTAGTGCCAAGCTGTTAATTCTCTTTCCTAGGTTCTCGTCCATTCTCTTTCCTAGTCTCTCCTCCCCGTATTTCCTTTCTACTTTTTTCCTCTATCACTATCATTTCATTTATATCTTTTAAAAACTAACTTTTGTATTCTTTTTAAAAAATTTATTTAGCATTTTATTTTTCTACAATTACACGTAAAAACAATTTTTAACATTTGTTTTTAAAATTTTGAGTTCCAAATTTTCTCGCTTCCTTTCTCCCCACCCCCCTCATTGAGAAGGAAAGCAATTCAGTATAGGTTATGCATGTATAGTCATGCAAAACATTTCCATTTTAGTTATGTTATGAAAGAAAACATAGACCAGAAAAAAAAAACTTCAAGATAAATAAAGAATGCAAAAAAAGTATGCTTCAATCTGTATTCGGCACCATAAGTTCTTCTCTAGCAATGGATAGCATTTTTCATCCTAAGTCCTTCAGAGTTGTCTTGGATCACTGTATTGCTGAGAATAAGTCATTCACAGCTAATCATCTTAGAATATTGCTGTTACTTTGCACACAGTACATTTCACTTTGTATCAGCTCATTGAAGTCCTTTCAGGTTTTTCTGAGAGCACCACGCTCATCATTTCTTATAGCACAATAGTATTCCATTACAATCACATAGCACAATTTGTTCAGCCATTCCCCAGTTGATGGGCATCCCCTGAATTTCCAGTTCTTTGCCACTGGAAAAAAAGCTGCTTTAATTATTTTTGTACATACAGATCCTTTTCCTTTCTGTTTTTTATCTTTTTGAATACAGACCTAGTAGTGGTATTGTTAGATCAAAGGGTATTATAGCATTTTGGGCATAGTTCTAACTTGCTCTAAAGAATGGTTGAGTCACTTCACTACTCCACCAATGATGCATTAATTTCTCATTTTTCCCACATCCCCTCCAACATTGATCATTTTCCTTTTCTGTGCTGTTAGCCAGTCTAATAGGTATTAGGTAGTACCTCAGAATTGTTTTAATTTGCATTTCTCCAATCAGTGATTTAGAGCATTTTTGCATATGGCTATAGATAGCTTTGATTATTTCATCTGAAAACTGTTCATATCTTTAGATCATGTATCAGTTGCAGAATGGCTCCTATTTTTATAAATTTGACTCAGTTCTTATTTGAGAAATGAAGTCTTTATCAGAGAAACTTGCTTCAAAAATTTTTTCAGTTAATATTGCTAACTGTATTTCCCTCCATCCTATTTCCCCCTCTGTTTATTCTGTTCTCTCTCTCCTTTCAGCCTGTCCCTCCTCAAAAGTGTTTTGCTTTTAACTATTGCCTCCCCCAATCTGCCCTCTTTTCTGTCAACTCCTACCCCCAATCCTCTTCCCCTTCCCTTCCTACTTTCTGGTAGGTAAGATAGATTTTTTTACCCAGTTGAGTGTGTATGTATGTTATTCCCTCTTTGAGCCAATTCTGATGAGAGTAAGGTTCACTCACTCCTCCCCTTAACCTCCCTCATCTTCACCTCCACTGTAAAAGCTTTTTCTTTCCTCTTTTATGTGAGATAATTTATCCCATTCTGCCTCTCCCTTTCTCCCAGTGCATTCCTTTTTCTTGCCTCTTTATTTTATTTTTTTAGATATCCCTTCATATTCAATTCACCTTTGCCCTCTATGTATACTATCATCTTCCCATGTAGGAATGCAGACAGTTTAACCTTAAGCCCCTTATGATTTTTGTTTCCTGTTTACCTTTTTATGCTTCTCTTGAATGTTGTATTTGAAAGTCAAATTTTCTATTCAGCTCTGGCCTTTCATCAAGAATGCTTGAAAGTCTGTTTCATTGAATATCCATTTTTTCCCCTGAAGGATTATACTCAGTTTTGTTGGGTAGGTGATTTTTGGTTGTAATCGTAGCTCCTTTGCCCTTCAGAGTATCATATTCAAAATCTTGTGATTCTTTAATGTAGTAGCTGCTAAGTCTTGTGTTATCTTGGCTGTGGCTGCATCATACTTGAATTGTTTCTTCCTGGCTGTTTACAATATTTTCTCCTTGACTTGAGAACTATGGAATTTTGCTATAATATTCCTGGAAGTTTTCATTTTGGGATCTCTTTCAGGAAGTGATTGCTGGATTCTTTCCATGTGTGTTTTACCCTCTTGTTCTAGAATATCAGGGCAGTTTTTCTTGATAATTTCTTGAAAGATGATTTCTAGGCTCTTTTTTTGATCATGGTTTTCAGATAATCCTGTAGTTTTCAAATTATCTCTCCTGTATCTATTTTCCAGGTCAGTTGTTTTTACAGTGAGATATTTACATTGTCTTCTATTTTTCATTCCTTTGGTTTTGTTTTATTGATTTCTCATAAAATCAAAAGCTTCCATTTACTCCATTCTAATTTTTAAGAAATTATTTTCTTCAGTGAGCTTTTGTACTTCCTTTTCCATTTGGCCAATTCTGCTTTTCAAAGCGTTCTTCTCGTTGGATTTTTTTACCTCATTTACCATTTGGCCTATTCTGTTTTTTAAGGTGTTATTTTCTTCAGTATTTTTTTGTGTCTCCTTTACCAAGCTGTTGACTCTTTTCGTTATTTTCTTATACCGCTCTCCTTTCTTTTCCCAATTTTCCCCTTACCCCTCTTACTTGATTTTCAAAATCCTTTTTGAGCTCTTCTGTGGCCTGAGACCAATTCATATTTTTCTGGTGTTAGAGATTTTGTTGTCTTCTTCTGAGTGTGTATTTTGATCTTGTCACCATAGTTACTTTATGTGGTCAGAATTTTTTTTCCGTTTGAGCATTTTCCCAGCCTATTTCTTGACTTTTAACTCTTTGTTAAAGTGGGACTCTTCTTCTAGGGTGGAGGACGCATTGTCCCAACACTTCAGGGGTTTGGTGTAGCCATCTTCAGAGATACTTCTGGGGACCTGTAAGTTTTCAGTTCTTCCAAGGTAGTATGTGCTAAGAAGACTGGTTTACTACTCTCCCAGCCTGTACTCTGGTCTGTGAATGACCACAGGTTCCCTTTTATACCTTGGAACTGTGATGAGAGTCCCTGCTCCATTGTGGCCACAAGCTCTAGTATGCTAGTGTTCCTCTTCATCCCGAAACTACCACCCAGATCCGAGTATGGGTAAAGCAACAGAGTACCCAGTGCCAGCAAAGAAACTCTTGTATTCTCCTTCTGACCAGTTGTTTGACCCCTTTACCATCTGTGGCCTGACAACTCCTGAAGCAGCTGCTGCTGCTACTGATTCAGTGGCTCCCAAGGCCAGCTTCTGGTTTTCTGGGGCCCAGAGTGTAGTGGTACAGCCTGCGCTCCACTCTCACCCAGGGGCAACAGACCTTTCCTGCTGATCTTCTGAGTTGTCTTTGGCTGGAAAATTATTTCACTCCATCCTATTGTTGGTTCTGCTGCTCCAGGAATTGTTTTATGGCATTATTTAAAGGTGTTCAGAGGAATTTGGGGGAAAGCTCAGGCAAGTTGCTGCCTTTTCTCCAACATCTTGCTTCCACCTAACTTTTGTACTCTTGCGTAATTTCTTCTAATCATTCTAATTGATGTTTTGGGCTAGCTGTGTTTTACTTGGAGATGTTCTTTTCCTGTAAGTTTTTTGGAGTTATATTCTTCTTTTGGGTTTGTGTTTTGGTTATCCCTGGACTAAAGTAGATCTCATTCTTTTTTTATTTGGTCATTTTTCCAGCAATATGTTCTAGGCAACCCAATTATTGCTGGCCTCGTAGGGAATTTTTTGGGGGCTGAGTCTGTGATGCTGACTAGTCTGGGAGACCCCACCAAGCTACTTTTCTCAGATGGTGCTCTGGGCACTGAGCTTCTGGCCTGATGCTGAGTTCAAGATTAACTCTGGACATCCCTGCACTGCACAGGAGCTCTGGGAGCTGAATTTCACTGACACTGAACACCACCAACTTGGTGCTGTGTTTCCAACCACAAGCCTCAGTTCTGAGCCAGTAGATAATTAGCTCAGGAGTCCTTGAGCTATGGTCCTAAGTCCCTTGGGCTTCCTGGGACAACCTTTATTGTTAGTGTGGGCCCAGGACTGAATGATCCACCTTGGATATCCCTGTGCTACTGGTCTGGCTTGGAGCTCTAGGCGCTGAGTGTGTGCTCTTGCCGTGAGCTTTTGGGCAGGAGTTTGTGACTAGCTCTGGTTGTCCATGAGCTTTTGCCCTACCTCAGTGTTCTGGTTGTTGAGTCTGTGATCCCAGCCAACCCTTGTTCCACAGTTCCTGCCCTAGTCGTTTGCCTGTAGGTCAGATTTGTAATCTTGGGCAGGAAAGGTAATTTCTCCTTCAATTTTTCTTTTACTACTCTGGCATTCTTCTCAAATTACTCTTGGTATAGTTGTGTGGGAACTGGGATGTACTGTTTCTTCCTACTTTTCTATCTTGACTGTATCCCACTCAATAACATATGATTTCATGAAGTTAAGAAGATGTGGGTTGAATGAAGACAGACTTGTGTACTGAATACCATTGTTAGGAACTTGAGAGCATCCTTTGAATCTTGAAAGTGCTAAATTTAGGACAAATGAAATAAAATATTACAAAGTTAATAGTAAAGTATTAGTTATTAGTAAGGTAAGTAAAATATTACACAGTCAATAGCTCCAAGAGGTAGTAGAGACTAATAATATATAACTTTAGGAAAGATTTAGATCATTGCATAAATCATGTAGTCACAGTTGGTTAAGAGAAGACTGGAATGTCTTTAACTTTTGAAGTTAATGTCAGGGAGGACAGCCAGGCCCATCTACAACATTATTTAGTGCCACTGTGGGAGAACTTGTACTGGACTGGATAGATCACGTGTTTTGTTTTGTTTTTTAGATCACGTATTTAATCCACTATAATTGTAGTGGAGTATTGAATTGTGACAATGTTCATCTGTAGAAGGAAAAAAAGGAGGACTCTTTCCTTAGCAAGAGAGTGAATCTTGGCCATAGAACTAGGAGAAAAACAAACAAAAGGGAAAAGTGATTCTGACATTACTTTGCTTGTTATTAAACTCTGGGAAACTGCTGAGTATGTGTATTTTTTTTTTTTTAAATAACTTAAGGTTTATGTCTTTTTTTTTTTCTTACGGGGCCATTTATTTGTTTTTTGACCTGGAATTGTGAAAATCTAGCTTGAGTTGAATGTTTATTTTTGCAAAAAAAACCTAAAAATAGTCTCCATTTGTGTATATTCCATTCAGCTTGGTGGGATATTACTTGAATATTTTTCGTAGTCAGACATTCTGTTAGACTTTCATACTTTTGTCATTGTGCCAGTCTACCAGCTAAAAAACCTTTCTTTCTACTTTGTTTGTATATAGTGTAAATGTTGTATACCTTGACTTACACAGTAGATATTTTCCTGAAATTGTGTATGATGAAAGAATTTTGTTTGCAAGAGATGGAAATCAGATTTAGCATCAATGAATAATACATATTAATGGTGAAATGAATTCTTGGTATATCTTGGAATAGAAGCGTATTTCTACGTATAGGTAGCATATTGCTATTTTGACTTTTTGTCTTTACCTTCTTTCACAGATGAATTTCTTCTCTGCTCCTAGGCACAGCTTTAGAGAGCATATTTCACTATTAACATGTTCTTTTTTCTCTTTTGATAGAGCTCAAGCATAGACTTTCTGGCAAACCAAGGATTTGATTTTAATAAAGTTTTTCGCAATGGTAAGATTAGTTTTTACTTGCCTTCAAAAGTAGTGAAACTTTTGAATTTGGTGGGACATGAATCTGTGTGTAGTTTAATTGTAATTTTATACATATCTGGAGAAAATGTATGTCTGGGAAAAAATATGGGTCAGTCATCTGTTGAGAGTTAGAGAGATAACTAATGGAGATCCTTTGTTATTTATTCATTCAATGTTAAGAGAACGAGAGGAAGGCCCCTGTTAGATGGATCCCATGTAGTAGGTTTTGGAGGTGTACTAGATTAGTTCAGGATGAATAGGCATGGATGAGTTTTATTCTCCATGGTGATAATAAGCTCATAGATCCTCAGACTGGTCTGCTAGCTAACCCCTATACATTGCATTCCATTTCCTGAAATGCACTGTCTCCTCACCTGTGCCTGGTAGGATTCCTAACTTCCTTTCAAGCTCAGTTGCTTGGATGTTAAACCTGAATGAGGTCTTTCTTGATCCCCTCAAGAAAATTATTTTTTGTCCCACTCTAAAGAAGTTGAAAGTGTCATATAAAGTAATAAGAGGAAGAAAGTACTAGTTTTTATGCTGATTTTTTGTCCCTTATCTGTTGTGTTGCAGCCTGCTCATATTCCAAAAGAAGACTATAGCATTCCATGACTTATAGTCAGTCAAAGAGTCTCACAACATCAGTAGAATATTGACTTTAGAAAGATGGGTTTTTATTTCTTCAGCATGAAGCCTTTCCTAATCCCCTTGTAGTTGTTAGTACTCTCTATGTTGAATTTTTTTATTGCTTTGTATATATTTTGTATTTCTTTTTAAACAGTGTTCAACGTAGGGCCTTGTACACAGTAGATACTTAAAACTTGCACCAAGATATTGTCAGTTAATGAAAAAACCTATAGTGTAAAATATTATCAAGTTAAATTAGAGACATCTCTGTGGTTGATATCTTACTGGAGGAGAGGAATATAGCAGCTAAATAATTATTCTTTTTTTTATGGAGTAGGGCATGTTTGCTTTAGTATTTCACCACTGAGTAGTGATTATATTACTTGATGTTTATTTTTTCCTCTTTTTAAAATAATTTATTTAATATAATTATTGTTTATATATGTTTATATATAATTATATATATACCCACTTTACCAAGTTTTATTCCTTGATTAGAGATAAAGATAGAGCAAAGGACTAGACTTAAGGTTTCTTACCGTGTAGGGCAGCACCTTCTCTGTAATTCAGTCTTGATTATTGCTTTCAAACATATATTGATTTGTTTGAAGTATAGTCATTAGGACTTAAGAATCTGTGTGTCTGTTTTATGCAGAGCTGAAAATACTTATGCAAATAGCTTAATTACTGCATTTTATATATCTTATCCTGTTCTAAATATTTGCTACGAAGGCAAAGGCATCATTCATTTAGTAAGCATTAAAAGCCTATTGAATACCTAATAGTATTAAGCATATAGGAGATGCTCAGTAAACGTTTTTTGCTTGATAAAACATGCATCAATGACACAATTAATATTTTTCATACATTAGATTCAAAAGTATTTTATGAACTTGGACTATAAACAGAGGCTGATTTTTCCCCCCTTATAGCATAACAGAATATGTATAAATATCCATGTAACTGTTGTGTTTTAAGGTAATCAATTACCCTTGCCATTCTAGTTATGCTGCCATTGCTCAGTGCATTTTTGCAGATCCTTTTTTTGCAGCTTCCTTGAGAGCAGAGTTTGTTTATTTTGACTGTACTCAAGCTTGACAAACCTTGGTTCATTGAAGGTGTTGATTTTTGGAAATAGCCAGAACTCATTTGGAATTGCATATCTATTAAGGTGGATGAACAAGTTTGATAATACTGTATTTTGTCCAAAATGAGAGTATCTAATAAGAAAACGGGATTTTTGGATGTCTGTGAATGGCTCCAAATTGATTCTTAAGATGGTTGCAGAAGAGGTATTGCAAAAAAGTTTTGGAGCAATGGCAGCTTGGTTGGAAAAGATTTGTTGCCTCCTAGGATGACTCTTGGAGGATAATATCATTTGTGTATTCAAGATCTAACATGTTGAAAGCTTTTTTGTTATTTGTCTTGCTAAGTGTGATTGTTTTTTATGTTGACTATGAGCTTTTTATGCCTGGTTGTAAATCTTTGCTGAATTGCCATAATCTTGTTTATTAAAAATTTTGTATTCAGATTTTGTGTTTATTAATAAAATGTTATTTCTAGGAATCCCATATTTAAATCAGGAAGAAGAAAGACAGTTGCGGGAGCAATATGATGAAAAACGTTCACAATCCAATGGTGCTGGAACTTTATCATATATATCTCCTAATGCTTCAAAGTGTCCTGTGATTATTCCTGAGGATCAGAAAAAGTTTATTGAAAAAGTAGTGTAAGTTATACCAACAAATTAAAAGTACATTCTTTAATATAGTGGAATGACTTTAATGGTAGTGTTGGTACAGGAATAAAAGGTATTTTGGTTAGATTCTATTACATCAGGTTTTTATTGTCTACAAACTTAATGTTTTGTGTCAGTTTGAATTATGGTATATACAAATATATGTAATAACTAGCTATATTATATGTAAAATTCCATGATATCATTTACTTACACTTGTTAATCTTACAGAACAGTTCTCATGGTAAAAATCTTTTATTTGGCAAACATACTTTCATGTTGACTGGCAGCAGTTTTCATGCTTGTCAGAGTGATAGAATTGTTTATTTGCCAAGAGGAAGTATGATGTTAAGGATAGGGATAGGTATTTAAATTAAACTCTGTCTTCTCTTCTTTGTTTTATAAAAATTGGAGATAAATGAGTAGATTGTTGGTGGAAAGGGGGGTTAGCTAAGTTTTTAATGGAGAAAGCAATACATATGGAGATAAAAGTAAATGAGGGTTTTAACAGTCTTAATCTGTGGTTTTAGAATTTGATCTTCCTTAGAAGATGTAGTCTTTTTAAAAAAATTTATTTTATTATTTTTAGAAGATATAATCATGAATCTTTTTTTTTTTTTAAATAATCTTGAATCTTGAATAGTTAGGGTACATCAAAATATTTAATTGATTATTTTTGAAAACATTTTGGTGCTGTACTGGAATTTGAACCTAGTGAGTCTTCTAATGCTATACCTAGTCTTTTTAACATCTGTGTTGGTAATAGCAGGTAGTTTTAACATTGCTAGCCTTTCAACCACAAATGAATATTTGTATGATATAGTCTAAAATTAAGAGATGAAAAGTCAATATGTAGAATTCTGGCTTTCTTACCACATTTTTTACTAGTATATATTGACATCAGGTTTTTAATTTAAGGAGTAAAAATCTTGTAGAAAAGTGTCTAGACAGATATAAAAATATAGAAGAAAACAAACTAGTAGAAAATATAACTGCTTGTATCTTTCACTACTTTATTTTAACTGTGCTCTTGGACTGAGTTCTCCATCTTGAAAGAAGTGAAAAATTTTGTTTATATACTGATATTTTTAGTTTAACAAATACTGTGGGAACAAATCTCCTTTTACCAGAACACGATGAGGTGAAAGAATACATATGAGAAAGTTCCAGTCTCTTCAGCTGTGGCTCCATGATGTGACAAGTAAAATGGAGGCCACAGTACTGTTTCAGGTGCTTTGTACGTGGCCCAGCTCAGCTGAAGAGACCGTCACACATCAGCACTGAAATTGCCTAGAAGTCCAGGTTCACTACCGTTCAGGGTTGTAACTGTGTCACACCTTCCTAAGAAACGTCAGGGTACTGACTTCATTATTGAAGAGGAAGCCATAGCCTTCTGCCACATTCTGGTTTTTTTTTTTTTTAATGCCCTCTGTATTGTGTCTGCTTCTTGACAACAAAGTTTTTAACAAGGAAGTTTATCCTTTGAAATGCATCCTCTTTATTAATTGAAGTATTATTGCATATGCTTTCTTTTTAAAGCTTAGTTTTGAGACAAGGTTTATTTTATTAAATATAAGAATGTGAAACTGAAACTGACAGCGAATATGTCATTGTTCAAGCTAAACAAAAGGCACATCTTTTGTGGTACCCAGAAAGTTTTACTTTAATTTTAAAAAAAATCTTACCTATCTCAATTTTTTAAAAAGAGAATGCCAGCACCAAGTATTTACAAACTAAATCTTTTTTTCCCAACCAGTCAGATGTTCATTTATTGAACACCTCTTGTTTAAGGCTCTGCAGGAGGTATAATGGAACTGTGTAATGATTTCTGTCTTTATGGAATTTAACATTAAGACAACTTACATTGCATTGGGAAAGCCTAGTACTTTAGATGATTGCTTATTATTTGATAGTACATTGTATATTTAGGCATTTTAATTTAATGATGTTAGAGAATCTAACTCATTCTATAAATATTATTTTCTTGGTTGTCTTATTCTGTTTCACCAGGGAGAAAATAGAAGATTTGATACAAAGTGAAGAAAACAAGAACTTGGATTTAGAACCATGCACAGGGTTGGTTGCTTTCTATATAACATTCTGTTCTTTTTTGGGGGAAGAAAATTATTTATGTGGCTTGACACACTGAGTCTTCTTTGATTAAACCCACACTGTAAAAAGCCTGTTTATCATAGGGTATAGATTGTTTATTGAGACACCAAATGACCCTACCTTTCTGTGGTCAAACTTCTTACTTTTGGGTGCCAGAATTCTTGTTGACCTTAAAGCTGTGCTGCACCTTCACATATATGTAGCCTCTAACATTGTGTAAGTACATGAAGCGCTCCCAGGAGAAGGAATGATTATAGTGGAAAAACAGTGGCTTTAGAGTCAAGAGACCTAGGTGTAAATAACTAGAGTTCTGTCACCTCAAGCAGGGTGCTTCACCTCTATGGCCTTCAGTTTCCTAATCTGTGAAAGGAGGATGGGATATTAGGTGAACTTTAAAGTCCTTTTCTGGTCTATGATAGATACTTAGTGAGGAAATTGGTTGACAATGACTTTCTTTTTTTAGTGAGGCAGTTGGGGTTAAGTGACTTGCCCAGAGTCACACATCTAGTGAGTGTTATGTGTCTGAAGGCTGATTTGAACTCAGGTCTTCCTGACTTCAGGGCCAGTGCTCTATCCATTGCACCACCTAGCTGTCCCAACAATGACTTTTATTTATTTATTTTTTTTATTTTATTTCATTTTTTTGGGAACTGGGGTTAAGTGACTTGCCCAGGGTCACACAGCTAGTTAGTATCAAGTGTTTGGTCTGAGGCCAGATTTGAACTCAGGTCCTCCTGACTTCAGGGCAGGTGCTCTATCCACTGTACCACCTAGCTGCCCCTAGACCATCAACAATGACTTTTAAATGCCTTCACTTTCACTAACATGAAAATATGGACATCCTTTAAGAACTTGGAAACCCAGAGGTCTCTCTTAGTAGTTGGTACTTTTTAAACAGCCTCTTAAATGAGTGTTAATTCTTCTTGTACTGTATAGGCGCTCTTTTATACAGTGGCCAAAAGGAACGTTTTAGATAGATAAGGATGTTTTTTAATTACAGAATTGTTTTCTCTAACTGCTTTTTGATCATTTAATTTTCTCAAAATGTATCACATATAATAATTTTTCTTTTGCTTTTGTAGGTTTCAAAGGAAATTAATTTATCAGACTTTGAGCTGGAAGTAAGTGTTCATATTGTATTAATTTCCCCTGAAACTCTCTGGGAGGGACCCAAATTTTAAAAACTCTGTATAATCTCTTAGCTTTAGGTTTACTTTTGAATTTTTGCTGTTTTGTCAAACCATACAAAGGAATAGCCCCCATGATGTGCTTTGAAGAGTATGGACTAGAAATACAAATTGTGTTTAAAGTTATACTGCTACTTTTTAAACTAGTGTACAAATGTGCTTTTTAAATTAAATCTACATCCAGCAATAATTTGCTGGAGAAAAATCTTGATTGGAAATTAAAATCTTTTAAAATGCTTGTTATTTTTTATCATTGATTTCAGTTTGGAAGACCATAAAATGTTATCATTTGTGCACCTGTAAGATCTTTGGCACAGTTTAAGAGCTTGCTGCTTGGAGTATATATCATTATAATTAAGTTGTACAATGTACTTACATTTCAGTTGAGTGCCTTTTCTGAAAAAGACTTTTTAGTGGTTTCTATTTGTCTTTGAATTTTTTTAAAGTCTTAGTTTTATAGTTTACTGTTAGATATTTGGAAATTTACTTTGAACACAATAATAGATCTACAATAATATCTTGATTTAGGAAGAATAGGGGCATTGTCTAATTTGCTCAGCTTGCTTCCTTGTTTAGGTATTCTTGCAGTTAATAGACAGTTCGAATCAGACCGATATAAAGTATTTGACCAGCATAAGATACAGCTGTCATTTCTTAAACTTTTCCTAAAATAGAAAATTGTTAAATTCTTGAGTATCGAAGGTCTTGTTGCAAGCTTCAAATTAAATAGAATCTGTTAGATTTTAATAATAAGAGGAGTTACGCAAAGTAGGTGCTTGCTTGCTTCTATGCTTGAAAGCAAGTTTTAACTGTATTGGGAAATTGAAAATTGCCGATGTTAAGAAAATGTAAGATCTTTCTCACAGAATACATAATGTTTCCACATGGCAAATAGAGCAAAATAAAACAGAATTCCCTTTTAATGTAGGTAAATTCTTAAATGTTTTGCATTTTATTCAGAAATAGTGAGAAAATATAGGTAGAAAAGTTTATTAAACATTTTTCAGAGCAAGTAAAATTTTATTCTTTGTCTACTGTTGTGTGGTTCATATTTAATGACAGTCATTTCATTTGGTTGAAATCTAGATGAGTATTTACTATTCCAGCATTAAGCATGAGGTTTTAATTGTTGGCTCTCAGTTACTCATTTACTAATAATGCATTTTCCTTTTTCAGGTATCCCAAAGGCATCCATGTTGAGACTTTAGAAACAGAGAAGGTAATCCAAAAAATGAACCAAAGTTGCTGCTTAATATATATTGAGTTCATATAATAATATGTTGACACTCAATATTCACCAAGCTATCCATCTGTATCTTAGGCTAAGTTTTATCATTTATGCAAATAGGTAAATTGAAAGCCATTTGACAAAGTCTTCTACAGTATCACTGTTGATTAGATAGATCCTCTTATAGTTGGGAATGTTCAGAACTGGTTGAATGATCAGTTAGTAAAGCATACTTAATGCTAATCTAAAGGAAAGACTTTATGGGAATACACTAAAATCTCCATTCCCTTGACCCTATGTTTTTTCTTCATTGACTTGAATGAAGGCATAGACAATACCATTCATCAGATTTGTAGGTGACATGAATAGGGTGTGATGGCTCTTTGTTGGGTGACAAAATGTGATCTGAAGATTTTGAGAGATGTGAATGATCAGCTGAAATAATAAAACTGAATTTAGTAGGGATACTAGTATTTAGAATTACTAGTATTTAGTAGGGATACTAGTATTTAGAATTTAGTAGGGAACACTAGGTTTAAGGGATCAACTTCACAAGTACAAGGTGACAGAAGGTAAGGGGAGTGAGAATGCAGGAAGATATTAAGAGGTAATATTAGTATGTTATACACTTGATAGATCTTAAAGCTATTATATAACCATGATATTTTAACCAGCACCTACTGTGATGTGCTGTAGATAATAGAAAATAAATGTGTTGGATAAATGACTCTTTAAATAGAAATTAGAGATTTTAGTGGAGTGCAAATTCAGTGTCAGTCAACAGTGTGTTGTGGCCAGAAAAAAAAGGCAATATTGTCTCAGGCTACATTAATAGCCTAGAACAAAGCTAACTGAATGGCTCTAACAGGGGTTGTGAGAAGGCTGATTATAATACGTCTGGTAAATTGCTTTAGGTTCTGGGTGTCACATTTTAGAAAGGCTATTATTGACAAGCTTGAGCATGTCCAGAAGAAGAAAATCAAGTGGATAATCAAGTGTGTTATAGAGGATAGGTTGAAATGATTGGCGATATTTAGTTTGGAAAATGGGAGAATTAGGAAGGTGAATCTTGATTTCTGTCTTTACATTTTTGTAGGATTGTCATGTGGAGACAGGGACATTATAGTACATCACCTACTTCAGATACAATTTACGTAGAGTAGGTGACTTTTAGAATCCTTTCCAACTCTGTAAGATTCTGTGATTCTAGACACCAGAATTGGATAGATTGTAAGTAGAGCTGCCCTCAAAAGGTGCCCAGAGTATTAACGACATTACTGAGAATTAGTGATTGATTCTAGCATAATGTTTTTCTGAAAGCCTCATAATATAAAGTTAAAACTGCTTAAAAGTTAGTTATTTTTTAAAAAGCTGTGAATGGAAAGATGGTTGAGAAGAAGTATGGTACAGTGGAAAAAGCCCTGGATTTGGAGTCAGAGGAGCTGGGTTTGAATTGTGGGTCTGCTAATTACTATTCGTGCGTTCTTGGGCACAGATGGTTTCATTTCTCTAGGCTTCAGTTTCCCCAACTGTAAAAATAAGACAGTTAGATTAGCTTATCAAAATCAGTTCTGGCTATGGATAAAATGTGTATTTATAAGCAAATCTAGTTTATCCAAGGTGTAGAACTCTCATGTGTATTCGTGTTTCTCTGTGAAAACTTAAAATGCATGAATTGTCAGAGGAGTGAATATTGGTGAAATGTTTATTTTTATTTTATTTTATTTTTTTTAGGCAGTTGGGGTTAAGTGACTTGCCCAAGGTCACACAGCTAGTAAGTGTTTGGTTTGAGGCCAGATTTGAACTCAGGTCCTCTTGACTTCAGGGCTGATGCTCTATCTTCATGCGCTACCTAGCTGCTCCCTGTGAACTGTTTATTTGATATGATATGTAACATATCATAGAATAGCAAGTTTTTTCCCCACAGATAGTCAGAAATAGAATGAGAATATTTTCAAAGCATTACTTTAAAAAAATTCAGACATCAAATAAACTAATAACCAAAATGTTTAAATGCAATTAATTCATTAAACATAGTGTCTTAGACTAATAATAATAGCTTATACATTTTTTTTGTACTGTAATCAATTTAGTTGAATTAATGAGACTTGGGAAGATATTTGTAATGGAAATGCTGACCCAAGATTTTAGATGATGATGTATCACTACAAAATATTTGCAGCTGAGTTTGACTCATGGCAAATAATGATAAAATTGTTGACTGCTTCCAATGTGGTCAGATTTTTTAATTTTCTGATTTTAAGTTGCTTCCAGGATGTTTTATTTGTAACTTGGCGATTTTTTTTTCCAGAAAGAACGATATATTGTTATTAGCAAAGTAGATGAGGAAGAACGTAAAAGGAGAGAACAACAGAAGCATGCTAAAGAACAGGTAAATTAATTCCATTTTTTTTTTTGCTTTCAGATAAAGCTGACAGGTTTTTTTTTTAACCACTTTTTCTTTATTAACTAGTGGTCTGTATCATGTTAATAAGTTGAGGCAAGGTTTTTCATTTTGGAAAAGTCTAATTCATGGATTGGAGGAAAAAAATAGGTAGTAAAAAAAATTAAAGCCAGCAAGTAAAAGGCGAAGTAGGCATAGCCAACAAAATGAATCATGTTCTTCTGCAGTTACTAATACGTATTTGACTTCATCTTTGTCCAGTCTGCACATAATATACAAGGCAGTCCTATAGAAATTGTTGTTCTTAATCATCATTTAATTTCAGTAAAGGGTATTGTCTTTTTGTTGTTTTTTTTTTGGTGAGTCAGTGGGGTTAAGTGACTTGCCCAGGGTCACACAGCTAATAAATGTCAAGTGTCTGAGGCTGGATTTGAGCTCAGGTCCTCCTGACTTCAGGGCTGGTGCTGTATCCGCTGCGCTACCTAGCTGTCCCTATAAAGAATATTGTCAAACTTTAACGTCTCTACTTTGATTTTTCCATGTCTGCCTGTAAGAAAATATAGTTGAATCCTTGTTTTGGGATATGACTAACTGGATTATCAACTAGTTCTGTTTTTACTCTGTGTAGTTATATTTTAAAAGATAATCTAATCAGTAGCATATGTAATATGAATTACATATTTAATGTGAGTCTGTGAGATTTTAAATAAAGATCTGCTGCATGTTTGTATTCTAGAAATTGTTTGGAAAACACTAATGTAACATTCATTGAAAAACTGCTTTTAAATATTAAGAGGAAAGCAATATAGGAGAAACTATGTTAGTGGATTTTTGTAAGAGGTAAAGAATTTCTACCTAGTGAAACATGGAGTTCCTAGTGGCATCTGGTTATTTATTCTGAGCTATTTCTGTTTTGTTGTTGTTGTACAGTTGTTTTAAGTCGTGTCTGACTCTTTGTGATCCCTTTTGGGATTTTCTTGGCAAAGATACTGGAGTGGTTTGCCATTTCCTTCTCCAGCTCATTTTCCAGATGAGGAAACTGAGGCAGAGAGGATTAAGTGACTTGCCCAGGGTCATATAGCTAGTAAGTTTCTGAGGCCTGATTTGAACTCAGGAAGATGGATCTTCCTGACTCCAGGCCTAACACTCTATCCCCTATGCCACATAGCTGCCCTTAATTCTGCTTAACAAAATTGAATTTTATTAATGTTCGCATTGAACTCTTCCTATGTTGTGTGTAATAGGTTTTTATTTGCATATTGCTGTGGGAACTTTTTGCAGCAGTACAGACTGTAGTTCATCTATCCCTTCTCATCCTGTTTGACTTGTCCCTGTCTTCTTCTATGTACATCTTCCAAAGGATGTCAATCCACTGTTACAGGGAAGCCTTTCAAGATCTCTTGAAATCACCAAGATACCAATGGAACCTCTGGGCTGTTAAGCAAATAAATTAGTGGCCAGAATTTCCATTTGAGGATTCTTCACTTCACCAAAGTATTCATCAGTGTCTTTACATTCTGATTTCTGTTAGTCTACTTAAGTACAATTTATATGACCACATCTTTTAAAGAATATGTTCATGAACTCAGAGTTGGCTCTTCTAAGCTGTAGTGTGTGAGCAGGGCTTGTGGCCCCACTCTCCGCAGTTCTGTATCATGTTGCATGTTTTTTAGAGAGAGCATTCATATAGGAAATGACTTGAGGGCTGTTTCTTGAAATCTGAATTTGTTCATTAGAGTTGAATCAGCAAGGAGTTTTCCTTTGGATAAGCTCATGTTTCATGTTGAATATAATTTGGAAAGTTTAATTTATTAATCTTTTCTGATCAGGTCAGGTCTATAAATATTTAGCATCTGTTGTTATTTGTAAAGTGGGGCAGTTAGTTGGCACAGTGGATATAGTACCGGGCCGGGAATTAGGTAAGGCTTGTCTTCCTGAGTTCACATCTGGCCCCCAAACACTGTGTGACCCCGGATGAGTCACTTAGCCATGTTTGCCTCAGTTTCCTCATTTGTAAAATGAGCTGGAGAAGGAAATGGCAAAACCATTCCAGTATTTTTTTTTTTCCAGCCAGAGACAAGGTTTATTAGAACATCAGTCATATTGGGCAGAGTCTTAAGGAGTCTGAATGTTAGTGAGCTGTTGGCTAGATTGTAAGAATCTGAACCCACCCCAGTGTCTTTGCCAAGAAAACTCCAAATGGGGTCACAAAGTATCAGACGTGACTGAAAAATGACTGAACAACAACAATAGGCAAGGTATTACATTGGATGCTGAGTATACAAAGCTGAATAAAACTGTCCTTGACCTCAAGGAGTTTATATGTTAATAGTGATGAGAATAGTTATTTAAGATATAATATAATATATGGCCATAAAACAACACCTGATAGTGGTCTGAGTTTAAGACGAGTGAATGAATTATCAATTGTCTAGAGTTAACTGTGCTATTAAGTGATTGTCTAGGAGGAGTTAGCTGCTGTTCTTTTCCTAATACTTGCCAGTTAATACAAGGAATTTTTTAAGACTAGGTATAAACCTGCTGGAATCAAAGCAGAATTTTCTGAATAAAAGAGTAGGAATTACAAGAATATTTGAGATCTACAGACTACCACTTGAATTTGACCTTATTTGTTCAATTTAATTAAATTCTTTACTACGCTGCAGTACTTATTTTAATCACCAGATGGCACATTTCTTTAATCAGTCAGAAAGCATTAGAGGGTGGGGCAGGTAGGGAGGAGGCTGAAGCAACACCACCATTTGACTTGTCAGAAGTGTCCAAGTAGTATTTACCCTAATGGGTAATTTCAGGTATCTTTGTAGAAGTTTCAAATGACTAATTTGCCATTTGTTGTTGCTTCTTAGTTCTAGATACTGAAGCTAAAAGTTACTTACTTTGGAAATTCAGGTGTTACAGTGTTTGAACATTGCAAAGCATACTGTAGCCCAAAATGAAAGCAATTCAGAGCTTTTCTGTATTGGATACTGTATAAAACTTTGGTGCTTCTAATTTTTTATGTCTCACCATTTATTTAAACCAGACTTTTTTTTTAATAGGAGGAACTAAATGATGCCGTAGGATTTTCTAGAGTCATTCATGCCATTGCTAATTCTGTAAGTGAACCAGACTGTTTCCTTTAGATAACTTCTATTAAGTCCTTGAGATTAATGTCTTGAAATGACAGAGTATAGTGTTAATAGATTTAAATTTTTGATAATTTTGGGATGATAAATGTGGAAGAAAATTATTAGATGTTTATAGATAGACATTATTATTTTTAATGAATTTTAGACATCTAAATTGCAAGGTTCTTTATCGAAATGGAAACCTGTTCCTACAGCGTGTGGAAGAAATACACTATATTGTTTTTATTGATTTACATAAAGAAAATAATCATTGTGGTTTGTGTTTGAAAACAATAACAAATAAGAAGGGAGTTGGGGAGGAAGGCAAAGAATTTGACAAAAAAAGGCAGCTCTAAAATTTTTTAAATAATTCTGATTTTTTTTGTGTGTGTTTGTTTTTTTGTTTTTTTAAGGCAGTTGGGATTAAATGACTTGCCCAGGGTCACACAGCTAGTAAGTGTCAAGTGTTTGGTCTGAGGCCAGGTTTGAACTCAGGTCCTCCTGACTTCAGGGCTGGTGCTCTATCCACTGTGCCACTTAGCTGCCCCTCAATAATTCTTTTTATTGTAGAAAATGCTACAGATAGGAAATATGGGAGGGTATATACCGTTAACCTAATATTTTTCCTTTTGCTATTGTATTTGGATATTACATTGGTTAATCTTACTACAATTTGACATGTTTTTCAAAATGTGCTGATAACTTGGGTGAGTTTCACACATATATTTCCACTTTTTCTGTCTTTCTCTCTATGTCTCTCTTCTTCTCCCTTCCCTTCCCTCCCCCCCCCCCCCTTTCCTATTGATGATATGTGCCAGATTGGAACGATATCCACGGTTAGCTATAGACAGATAGTGAAGTATGGCATATTGCTCTGCACATTACTGCATTTAGGTTTTGCAGATAATTCATGGTGCTCTGTGCCTACAGGTTGGAATCTGAGACCTTTTTCCTGGAGCAGAATGTGCCTTGAGAAAAATCTTCTTTTATGTAGCCCCTTGAACTCTAAACTTTGTAGCAGGGAGCATATAAAGCCAAAGAAAGTTCCTAGGACATAAATCTCTGGACCTCTTTACCTGTTGTAGCATAGTGTCTCTCTCTGAGCATAAGCATACTCTGATTGACATTGCCTTGATTGTACCCTTAGCAATAACATTTCTCAGTAATATTCAATTCAACATATTCTTGTGAATACTCTCTATTTTTACTGTGCTGGGGATTGGGAAAGATAGAAAGTTTATTTGAGATATGATGCCTGCCCTTGCAGAGCTTATAGTCTTACTTTTTTTAATGTAGCCTCAGACTCAGCTGTAAAGTAATGAAATTCCACAGTGACAGTTTCTCTGAGTGCCCATTTATATAATTCTTATGGAATTAACATTTCATAAGATTAGATTAGATGAAACATAAGTAGTTTCATCTAATGTGCTTTTTATAGAATCCAATAACATAATGAAGGGTATGCTTATTACCTTGTTGTTAGATTTGAGAAAAGCATGCTAGATGAATCTACTTTACAGGGGAAAATTAATTTCATAGGAAACAATATAAATAGACATTCAGCTTCCATTTGGTGATGGCATTTGAATATTCAAACTAGGATGTCTAACAGCTTACCAGATTGAAATTCTATACATTTCTTTTGCCCCACCTCTTCTTTTTTATGTAATTCATGACATCTTACAGCTTTCTTAACAGTAGGGCCAGGAACCATCCTATGGGGAAAAAGAAGCCCAATTTATAAAGTTCCTCTGACTTACCAAGACATTTTGAAAAACATGTCGTAGTTTTAGAGTTTTTTCATCATTTAAAGCTACTCAGAGATAGTATACATAAATAGTATATTAGAAAGACACCTTATTTGTTAAATAGATTACTAAACAAGACAGGGGCTTGAGAACACGTGTGATTCCGCAGTTTTCATTCAGTAGAACTTATATTCCTATCATTCAAGTTGTTTTAGAGTGGTTTGTCAGCTAAGGAAGGGGAAAAAATCCTTCCATTCTATTGTACCAAACTGATGTCGTAATGGTTGTCTACCTGCATAGACAAAAAAACTCCATTGCTTTGTTCCATTATTTAATTTTTAGTAAATGGAGTAATTGAAAAATTAAAAAAAGAAATTCTTTTATTGTGGAAAATGCTACTTTTAAGAAAATGTTACATATGAACTGTGACATACATGATAGTAATGATATCTGGTTTTGCATCTTGAATACAATTGAATGTTAGTTTTTACTATTTAGTATTACTTTTGGAGCTATTTTAATTTTTCTGAATTTGTGAAAAAGAGTTTTATAATTAAGAATGCTACAAAGTACATTCAGGATTTTCTTACAAGGTGTTTGATAATCCAGAACACTCAACTTTTATAAGTTTGACACTTTTAAAATTAAACTCACCACATAGAATTTTAAATTATTTTGGATTATAGAAAACAGGAAGACAATGTCTGGAAAAAGAAACAACTCGGGATCATTTGATCCTTTCTTACCATGGTCCTTTCTCCCCAAATTAAAAAAAAAAAATTAGGGGAGGAAAGAGCATAGGCCTTTTTAAAAAATAAATTTTATTGATATCTTTTTTTGTGTCACCTACATTTCCCAGTGAATATGTCCCCCATCCTCTCCCAGAGAGCCATCCCTTATAAGAAAGAAATAAAAAAGAGTAAGAAAGGGAGAAAAAATTTCTGTGAAGGTAAACAGCATATCTAAGAAACCCTCTAAGCAGTATAGTATATGTAAGTATAACAAGTGTCTACAATGGAACCAGAATTGTACTTCTTTGTTCTTTGAAATTGATGTCATATACAGTGTAATGTAATACAAAAAAGTTATTTTATAAACCTAACTCTCTTTAGGGCAAACTTGTTATTGGGCATAATATGCTCTTGGATGTCATGCATACAATTCACCAGTTTTACTGTCCATTGCCTGAGGTAAGTGATTTTCCTATCCTTGTTAACAATTCCAGGTAATACTCTTCTGTATTATACACACACAGTTTCTTTCTTGCATGTTATGTGTTCCATAAAAAGGAACTTATTAGGCAATAAAGGAGGTCCTTTAACTTTATATTACTGAAGAAACATGTATACTATTTTAAGTAACATCCATGGTATGGCAAGGGGTTAGTCTTCACTCAGTGTTTTTTTACCTCTTTTCTAATGAGAAATGGTTCCTAAATCCTAGGAATTTTTTAGGTTGTTGATTATAAAACTAGACATAGAGACATTAGAGGTAGATGATGTTTTAGGAAAAAATAGCAATTGGATAATGAAAATACGCATTCTGTCATCCTGGATGATTTTATTCAGACTTCTGATCTTATTGGGATTTCTTTCCTTAAAGAAGTTGATACATTTTTATTTTGATAACAGACTCTTTCTAATAAACACCCAAATTTGCTTCTATATACATTAAATTCTCAAAGATGAGTCCTATAATTTTGACAGTCTGTCCCATTGATTTACTTCTCAAGGTAATCAAAACCAGATGGTTTTGATTGAATGCTTCTTTATAATATCATTCAAGATGCAGAAGTACTATTCCCTCTTTGTCCTTATGTCTTTTCATCATTTCCCTTGATAGTCTAGATCTTTTATTTTTTTCAAATGAACTTTTGATATTTTATCAACTTCTTTAAAGTATCCCTTTGATAATTTTATTGGTATAGCATTCAAAGTATAAATTAACTATGACAGTATTACTATTTTTATTATATTGGCATAGCCCAGCTAGGATCACCTAATATTCCTCTAGCTATTTAAATTCTTAATTTCTTCAAGAAACACTTTGTACTTGAATCTTTTGGGTAACATTATGTGGAAGAGACCCTAGAAATCAGTCAGTCCAATCATCCTTGGGATATGGGCCTGGTATTGATGAACAATTTAGTAACTTTTCTTGCATAATTCCAAGTTGTTTTCCAAAAAGTTTTAGCCAGTCTAAACTGTGTCTTTTATAATCACTGCCAGTGTGATGGGTGAAAGGTGAAACCTCAGAGTAATTTTAATTTTGATTTTTCTAACTAGTAATTTGGAGCATTTTTTCATGGTATTATTTATAGTATACATTTGCACTTTTGAAAACTGTCATTATCAATTATCCTTAAACAGCTATATCTATTGAGGAATGGCACTTAGTCATATTTCTATATCCAGTTCCTCATATATCTTGAATATCAGTTTTTTATCCTAAGTTTGATACAGAGATTTGTTTTTCTTACTGGATACCACCTGTTTTTTTTTTTTTTTTTTGAGTTTTATTTCTTTTGTCATGCTTTTTAATGTAATTAAAATAGACTGTTTTATGATTTCCTCTGTCATTTGGTTATCAGTTTTCCCCAAGTCATAGCTGTGAAAAATACTTTTTTTATTTTACCATTTTTTATGATGTTACCTTTTATATTTAAGTTATTTTTGAAGAATATTGTAATATATGGTATAAGGTGTTAAGCTAAGTTTGTTTTTTGCCAAACTGCTTTCTGGTTCTTTTTCTCGTGGTTTATTGGATTTATCCATATGTGAGCTATGTTCATTACTTCTAGGTTTTGTTTGTCTAGTCTGTTTCATTTTTTTGTATTTTTAACCCAATACCTAAGGATTTTTATAATTACTGCTACAATATGGTTTGAGTTCTGGTAATATTAATCCTCCTTCCTTTCCTAATTTTTACCCTTGAAATCCTTGACCTTTTTTCTCATTATTCCTTACTAAACCTTCTCAATCATAGAATCACAGATCTATAGCTAGAAGTGAATTAGTTCTGAAGCCATCTAGTTTTGCCCTTTACTTTACAAATTAGGAAACTAAGGCCAAGGGATGGTTTAAATTGCTTGTCAAAGGTCACACAGAAAGTAAACATTAGAGGCAGGATTTGAACCTGGGTTCTCTGACTCTCTTTTCTTCATCTCATGCTGCCTTCCTCTTGAGGAACCACTTTTTCTCTGCCCTAGCATATTTAGAGCCATAGTATGTAGAGCCAGAAGAGACTTAAAACATCGTCTGGTCCACCTTGCTCACTTTACAGATGAAGAAGCTGGTGTTTACAGAGGTTGAATAACTTATCCATCATCTAGTGATCGTAGAGAAGAGAGCCAAGTTCTCCGATTCCAGATTCTGTTCTTCAAAGCAGTGACCTGTTTTCTATCTCTTTTGTGTGTTCACCACCTGGCATTGCTTCTTGAGCCTACTGAACTCTTAAAGGCTTAATGAATTGAATCTAAGCACAGTACTTGAAGTGTTTGATCAGTAGCAAGTATAGTGAGAATCCCTTTTCCCAAAAGAGAGATAATTTCTTTTTAATAACAGTCAGTTTTGTGACCACCTGCAGATTAAACTTGGAGAATCTCAGAGTTGGAAGGTACTTTAAAGCCCCCCTAGTCCTTCCTGTCATCCAGTGTAGTCATTGCCTCTGTCACATCACTTAAAAGTAGTCATTCCACTTCTGCTTATAAATTTCTAGTGATGGAAAGCATTCACTACCTCATAAGGTAGTCAATTCCATTTTTAACATCTTCAATTTTAGAAAATTTTGCCTGGCATTTTGGGGAGAACTTCTGTTCATTTTTGCCTGCTGGCAGCCACACAAAATAAGTGTTTCACGTAAGCAGCCTTCTGGTAATCAAAGGCATTTTTAGTTGTAAAAGCAGCAGAGCCCACTTCTAGTTTAACATCCCTTATACCTTTGACCAGTTTTCAAATGGATTATTTTCTAGATTCTTCACTATCTTTATTACTCTTACGATGAAATGCTCTTTGTCATTGTTTCTCTAAAAATGTGTTGATATCTAGTGGTACTTTAGAAAGTGCTATGTCCTGAGTCAGAGGATATTGATTTTAATCCGGACTGCCACTTAATATCTTTGTGGCCTTAGGGAAATCACATAATTTTTCTGGGCCTCAGTTTCCTCATCTATGAAATGAGAGTGTTGGACTAGATAACCTGTAAAGTGCCTTCAAGCTCTAAATCTTTTTTTTAAATGAATTTATTTTGAATTATCAACAATCACTTCCATAAGCTTTTGAGTTTTGCATTTTTCACCCCCTCCATCCCCCCCTTTCTCCCCAAGACAACGTGCAGTCTGATATAGCCTCTACATATATGTTCTAACATATTTTCACATTAGTCGTGTTGTGAGGAAGAATTAGAACAAATAGGAGGAACCACAAGAAAGAGGAAACAAAACAAAATGGAAGAAGGAAAAAGAGCAAATAGTATGCTTGGATCTGTATTCAAACTCCATAGTTCTTTCTTTGAATGTGGATAGCATTTTCCATCATAAGACTTTTGGAGAAGTTCAAGCTCTAAATCTTTGGTTCTGTGGTTCCCTTCTTGCTATTCTCCCCCTTAGGGATCTCTTCCTACCTTGGCCTCAGTTTTTACTTTTAGAGATGATTTCCAAATCTTTATCTTTACTTTCAACTACTCTCCAAAACTAAAGTCTCTTATTTCCAACTGCATGGAGTATCTCCACTTGGATGTCCTGTAAGTGGTGTAGTGGATAGAATGTAGGAGTTGAAGTCAGTATAACCTGAGTTCAAATCCCACCTCAGACACTAGGTATGTGACCCTGGCCAAGAAATTTAACTTCTGTAGGCCTCAGATGTCCTCATCTGTAAAATTATTGGGTTGGACTTCATGACCTATAAGTCCTTTCCAGTTCTGAAGCTATGCTCCTATGTCCAGAAACTTGCCCCTCCCCCTAATATATCTGTTGCTATTAATGTCATCATCATCCTCCACATCCTCCATCATCTTTCTATAACTTTGAAATTTTGTGTAACTTTTCCATCTCTCTCAATTAACATACTCAATTATTTGCCAAGTTCTGAATCTTCTTTTCCTTTATCTTGGCAACTTTTTTTTTTTAATTTATTTTTAGTTTTCAACAATCACTTCCATAAGCTTTTGAGTTTTGAATTTTCTCCTCCTTCTTCCCCACCTCCCTCCCCAAGATGACATATAATCTGATATAGGCTGTACATATACATTCCTGTTAAACATATTTTCATTTTAGTCATGTTATAAAGAAGAGTTGGAACCAATAGGAGGAATCACAAGAAAGAAGAAATAAAACAAAACAGAAGAAAAGAAGAACAAATAGTATGCTTCGATCTGTATTCCAACTCCATAGTTCTTTCTCTGGATGTGGATAGCATTTTCCATCATGAGACTTTTGGAGATGTCTTAGATCCTTCCATTGCTGAGAAGACCTAAGTCTATCAAAGTTAGTCATTTCACAATGTGGCTTCTACTGTGTACAACATTCTCCTGGTTCTGCTCACTTCACTCAGCATCAGTCCATACAAGTCTTTCCAGGTTTTTCTGAAGTCCACCTGCTCATTATTTCTTTCTTTCTTTCTTTCTTTCTTTCTTTCTTTCTTTCTTTCTTTCTTTCTTTCTTT